TTTATGTAAGTGATAAGTTACAAAATACTGACATCAAAATGTTATATTGCATACCTAATGAAAAAGACTAATTATTCATATTGATTTAAGATATAGTACCTAATTGTAGTGGGGCTTTCTACTTTTAAAAAATGTTTCTCATAACAAAATCAATATAGGATTTTAAAAGACACTTTGCCCAATATGTGGCATTCTCAAGGTGCTCTCTGTAACGGTTACACCATTTCTCTCTTGGTTCTACTGAAGAGTTGTTTACGGACTGTTAATTCTTTGAAGTACCATAGTACAGTTGATGTTCTGTAATTAATAGTCTAAGTGACAATTACACCGCAAAGACAAAAATAACATGAACAAATTAACATTATATATTTAGCTTCTAGGGTCTTTTATCTTTTAAAATATGCAAACTAACAAAAAATCAAGTTGAAATTAATGTTTTTGAAGGGCAGAAATATAAATATATACAGATATGTATAATCTACCACTTCCCAGGGAGGAAGACTGGGTTTACATCAAAGATTTAGGGAATTTAGGGATAGATATCATAATTAAGTTTGACCATTGAATGCAGCGTGCATCCCACTTGCCCACTTCTTGAATGGAAATGATTATTGCATTTTTCCTATGCCTTTGGTGTATGGGAGTCAGAAACCTTTTTTCTTTAGTTCACATGTCTTCAGATCAAGAATAAATGCAACAAAGAAAGGAGCCCAAGGAGCCCTTCAGTGCCTGGATCTAATTTAACTTTCAAGTTCCTACCCAACAAACTTGAGACTGTTGCTCTATTGAGGTGAAACTTTTGTTTGCATATGGAAGAAACAGTGTATATTTCATGTGAAAGGAAACATTTGTTATCAAAGGAAAGAATGTGGCTACCTAAAAATTACCTACAAATACTGTGGTACACTTCTTATGCAAAAGATGTCTATGCTCCCTCCCCTCCCCTTATACCTGCCCCATCTTGAGCTTGAAAGTTTTGTCCCCACTTTGACCAAAAAAGTGACAGGACATAAATTCCAATGCTAGGTCACAAAGGGCCATAAAATTTCTGTGTGTTTCACAAGAAAACTCATTCTTAGGGCCTAAAGCCACTACTCTATGACAATATCAACTGGAGAGAACACATATAGGCATTCTGATAAATAGTTCCAGATGAAGCCAGCCTTTGCCTCATAAATTTTATTAGATGCTAAACAATGTGAATTTCCCATTGTTGAGGACTGGATTTTTCTAGCAGACCGTAAAGTTCCTTGCAGGGCACCTTGATCCTTTCAAGGATTCTTGAAAACTTTATGTGGACAAATGTGAATTAACTTTTTCCCTAGGGCAAGTTTAACCTTATTTTTCTTGGGTCTCTACTAAAGTAGAGTTTCACGACTATCCCCAGAGAATTCTAATTTCCAACTGTTCCAAACTTGAATGTCCCCTAGTCCTGTAGGGATTCTTGGAAACATTTACATTTCCTCCATCGTTCTTTGATTGGCCTCATGTATTTTAACCAGTGTCTAGAGAAGACTTTTGCAGTTTTCTGAAGCACGTTAATCGCCTTTTTCTGCAGTTGTAATGCCTAGCAAATCACAGTGGCTTCAGCATCTTCTAACTCCAGTCTCTCCTCAATTCAGCAAGGTTTCCAGCCTCTTCTTAGGGTTTCCCCTCCCTGTAAAAGCGAATCAATGTGAGTTTGCTCCTTGGTGAGTCAGAAACTGCATCAGGTTGAGTTGTCTCACAAAGAAAACATTATTTTTCTCTTTTTCTTTTTAGTTTTATTTATTCATTTGTCAGAGAGAGAGAGAGCAAGCACACATGCACAAGCAGGGAGAGCTGCAGGCTCCCAGCAGAGCAAGGAGGCTGACGTGGGACAGGTTCCCAGGACACTGAGATCATGACCTGAGCTGAAGGCAGACAGTTAACAAAATGAACCACACAAGGGTCCCACAAAGAAAACTTTTGTTTGCAAAAAATAAGGAGATCAAGAGAACGACTTCCAAAGCTGTGACTCCCTGAACTAAGGTAGATGGCTTCCTTTTGTTTAGGATTAGGAGGAATAGTTATATAGGGAATCCTTGTTTTTTGATGTCTAGGTGGGCTTAAGTTCGCAACATGCACCTTAAGGAAACATGCCATATGCATATATTGTATGTTATGTAAATGAGGCTTGTGCTCCTCTATGGGTGGAGATTTTAGCATTATAATGAGGTAAAGGTAGTTCTTGACCATTCTGGAGGTTACTCCATGGATCATGTGGATATACACAAATGTGGAATGACACTCAAACTGATCTGGGTGATCTAGGCAGACTGGAGGTCTTGTCAGGGCAGTCGCTATCACTCAAGGGATGGTTTCAGTTTCCATTTGCCTGAGTTAAGTGATAGGTGGAAAGAAGAGCTTAAGGAAAAATGTGGGACAAACGTTGGTGAATATATGCAGGTGGGCAGTAAAAGTCCGGCCTTGAGGTCTATCTGGTGACCCTTGCACAGTGGACTGGAAAATGCTTCCAGGCAGATATTCAGGGCCATTGTGGGGCTCACCTCACTTGTCTCCTCTCTGTCAGAGATTATAGTCTTATGTTTTCAAATATATGAAAACAAGTTATTTCATATAATTAGTCCAGTTTGCCAATTATTTACAGTAGGAGTGTAAGTTCAATCAGTTATTCTCTCATGACTGAAAGTAGAAGTCTCCATTTGAATTTAATAATTATCTACCATAGGCACAGAGGTCTGCATAAAGGAGGAATACCCACCCCCTAAATACATGAAATTATATAACCAATAGACTGATACCAAAATTTTTGAAAATATTGTTATACACACTTTATTCTTTGTCAAAGAAAAGTGCCAATAAAACTACTGGAAACAAACATCATGTTATATATTACTACAATACCCTTACAGATTCCAATAATTTTAGAAGTCTGACATATTTATATTTTTATAAAGATATTAATGTGAAATCTAAAACTCAATCCCTACCCTTGGACTATATTTAACGTAAGGCTTAAATTGAAAATTTAAACTGCAGAATATCATTTGGTGTTACAAACTCAAAGAAAGGAAAGCTGTATGGCTAAAGAAGTTTCTCTACTTAAAAACCAAGGGAAGAGCTAGAGGGGGAAAAGATTTTGTAAAGTTAAGACACAATTTTAGGCTAACTCATAATGATCTTTCTCCCTTTCAGTAATAAAATAACATTTCACATCTATGCATAAGCATCCGTGCTCTTCACTTTGATATGAGCGATTTCTGAGGGCAACATTTATCACATTTGCATAGGTAGAGTGGGAAAGCCTGTCAAAAATAATGCCAAACAGAAATATAAACAGAAGTTCAGCTCACAAATTGCACAAGTGTTTTTTTTTTTTATATTTAGTTAGTATGCCACAAAGTGATCAAAGCCATTGTGTGTTCCTATAGAAAGACTGATAAATTCTCTATTTAAAATGATAAGTTACAAAAAGGTAGATATGTATTTTCCTGAGTAAACTCTTGATGATTTCCACAAGACACTGCTCTTCACTTTCACCTTTTCCCCCTCCCCCAACTACTTTTAACAAGTTTGATTTTTATTTTTTTCATTTCTTGGTGCCCTAATTTTTGCACCTCTATTTGTAATTCTTCACTGATTTAGTTAACCCCAAATAGCACTCCTAATTGAGTTGTCAGAGCCAACAGCTGACTAACAGCTATGAAAACCAAATAGAGAAGTCTTACTATGGTAAAATATGTAGTACTTTCCCTAACTCAGGAACGTTGTCTACAACAAATTCCATATGCAATTGTTTGACTGACTGTTCTAGGAATTGCAGGCACACATTGATCAGAGTATTTTGTTCAATATCTTAAAAGTAATTACACCAATTGGACTGAATCTTTTGTTAGTGCACAACATGCAGAGTAACAGTGATAAAAGGCAATTGGCCACTCTAAATTTAATGTGTGCTTTATTATTTAAACCATGTAGCACTTTTCTTTTGAAATGTATATTCCAAACTTCAACTATCAGTAATGATTATGATCTCATGAGACCCAGAAGAAATAAGAAATTTGCTCCAGATCCAAAGAGAAATTTAAAGACTGACATGAAATTCGAATAGAGCAAGGCATTAGCATTTACAAAGAAAGCTGTTTTTCAATATGTATATTTTAGCAAATTTATATGCAACCATCATAAAATGAAACACGAGGTTCTTATCTGCTAGAGTAAGGAAAATCAATTTTGGGCTTTAGAGCCAAAATACTTTCCTATGAACTGATAAATAGTTCTCCCCATCTAACCACCACTCACCCTTTAAAAATATAATAAATACAATTAATGCCACTGTTATTGTTATTGCTAACACGGCAACTATTCTTTTTTACATTGTTTTGTTGTTGCTGTAGTGAACTATTTCCACGTGTGAAGGATTTACAGTAAGAGGCGATACAGTACAACAGTGAAGAGCACATGCGCTGAATCCAGACGGGATTCAAATCTTGGTTTTGACATTTACTAGCTGTGTGATCTTGGGCATATCTTACTTAACCTCTTGGTACCTCAGTTTCTCATCTGGAAAAAAAAAAAAAAAAGCAAAAATTAGAAGAAGAAAAAAAAAAAAAAGATATTATCACCCCGTATCTACCTCATTGGGTTTTCCAGAAAGGATGCATTTATAAATCTGAGCAAAGTGCTCGGAACAGCACCTGTAAACGCTAAGCACCGTGAGAGTTTGCTTCTAACATCATTATGGGGATGACGCTGTTTCTATAACCATTCTGATGAAGAACAACCAGAGTTCTAGCCTGCTTTGTCATGATTACTGACGAAGATGCCACTGAAAAAGAATTCGGGAGCATCCCGACAGGGCCAGCGGATTTCAAGAGGCGACGATCAACGCGCAAGATCCACGCTCGCAACCCCGGGCCTGGCGCCGGGCAGGGGCGCGGCACTCGATTTCCTTCCCTGCCTCCGCCGTCCCCCTGGCGCGCATGCTCAGTCCTGCTCGGCCCTTGCCTTTGATTTATTTTTTTCTGGGCGGCCGCGGCGACCCGGGACTGGCTCGGGGATGGGAAGCGAAGCCCCCGGAGCTGCGGCAGCGGCGGCGCTGTGAGGAGCAGCCAGGGGGAGGCAGCTGCGGCTCGTCGGTGAGTATCTGGGAAGCGCTGCCATGGCGTTTCGTAAGAAGAGCACCAAGAACCCCCCAGTCCTGAGCCACGAATTCATCCTGCAGAATCATGCGGACCTCGTCGCCTGTGTGGGGATGTTCTTCGTGCTGGGGCTTATGTTCGAGGGAACGGCCGAAGCATCTATCGTTTTTATTACTCTTCAGCACAGTGTTACCTTTCCTGCAGCAGAAGAGCGAGCCACAGAATCAAAGTTCCTTTACTATTACGGCATCAAAGATTTGGCCACGGTTTTCTTCTACATGCTAGTGGCAATCATCATTCACGCCACAATTCAGGAGTATGTGTTGGATAAAATTAACAGGCGAATGCAGTTCCCCAAAGCGAAACAAAGCAAATTTAATGAATCTGGCCAGTTTAGTGTATTCTACCTGGTTTCTTGTATTTGGGGCACATTCATTCTAATTTCTGAAAACTGTCTGTCAGACCCAACTCTCTTATGGAGGGCTCATCCCCATAATATGATGACCTTCCAAATGAAGTTTTTCTACATATCACAGTTGGCTTACTGGTTTCATGCCTTTCCTGAACTCTATTTCCAGAGAATCAAAAAGCAAGATATCCCTCGTCAACTTGTCTACATTGGCCTTCACCTCTTTCACATCGCTGGAGCTTACCTCTTGTACTTGAATCATCTGGGACTTGTTCTTTTGATGATGCACTACTTTGTTGAGTTACTTTCTCACATTTGTGACCTGTTTTATTTTAGTGATGAAAAGTACCAGAAAGAGTTTTCTCTGTGGGCAATTGTGTTTATTTTGGGTCGACTAGTGACTTTAATTGTGTCTGTGGTGACTGTTGGCTTTCACCTAGCTGGAGGGCAGAATCGGAATCCAGATGCTGTTGGTGGAAATGTAAATGTGTTAGCAGCTAAAATTGCTGTTCTTTCATCCAGTTGCACCATCCAAGCGTACATAACATGGAATTTATTTAATGTCCAGCTTCAGAGGTGGATGGAGGAAGACACTACTCTTCAGGCCCCCGTTGTGAAGAAGAAACGGACTAAAGGGAGGTCTTCTAGAAAAGGAACAGAAAATGGTGTAGCAACTTCAAATAGAGTAGACTCTCCGCATAAAAGGAAAGAGAAATCTTCATAATGAATTACACGCTAATTGATTACTGTCCCCAAAGAAGTCTGCTCTTTACTATAAGATACCTTTGTGTGCTACAGATTTTTCTGTTCTTCAAAATAGTTTGTGCTGTCTTTGATTTCTGTTATTGTACTGTGTAATGTATTTTTTAAAGGCACTTGAGGGGAGGATGCTTATCATGAGTGGGGAAAAAAATTGATATAGACTAAGCAACATCAAACGGTTCAGGGATGACCACCATATTTTGTTTTGTTATTTCGAACATTTTTCCTAATAATTTGTAGATAGAACTGAAAAATTCCACATATCAGTGACACAATTTCTTGCTCCTGTCAATCTTTTATACCATTAGCAAGGTGGTCTGATATAGCAATGTCACATTTTTTAATGTTCTCTTTTAGGATAAAATGGACATATTATAAAGGTGGAATTCAACTTCATTACGTTTTCAGTATTCTCTAATTCTTAGAATTTTTAAACTTTTGTTTTTTTTTTAGAACTTACAACTGAAGAAAAGATTTGTAAAAGCACCAAAATAATGATGTGTTTTATATGTAGTGTTGTTATTATTACATCCCCATTAAAATATTAATGGGTAATCTGTAGAGATTTATGACCATATATTGAATCAAAATATCATGAATTAATATAAAAGTGTTATTGAAGAGGTAAAATCATTCTTGTCCATTTAAACACTTGTAAACTAGCAATCAAAAAAAATTAAATACTTACGTAAAAGGAAATCAGACAGTCTTTTTTGCTATGTTTATTAAAAATTATTCTTAATGAAGCTTGTTATAAGTTTGGTATCCTCAGCAACTTGGGAAAAATATTATTTAACCTGCAAATCATTTTGAAAAACAATGCTTAGTTGATTTATAGCTATAAAAAGAAGGTCAGCTAATTACACACGGAAAAAACTTAACACATTAACCTAAAGTACTTTGAAAATCAGGTGGATAGTCTTATGAAAGGTCTGTCAAAAATACTGTTATAATTATAGTGCTGCTTTCATCTTTAATTGGGGAAACATTCATCTGTATGAGCCCTATTTTGGATATGTATGTATACTAAGGTATACGTGGATATATAGGTATATAGATAGTATCTTTATTGAAGCCAATAGAAAGGATGGGTGTAGTGGGTGAGTATTTTATTTATCTCCTTTTCTCAACCTTCATTTTGATTTCATTTCCATAATGTGAGTGTTTATACTTTTTTCAGGAGACAGTGCTTGAAAAATATGCTAGAATAAGGCCATTATTTCCCATTCATCTGTTTTCTCACACTGTGCCTCTCATCTCTGCTTTTGATAGCCTTCTATTTGGTTTGTTGTGGGTAATTCAGCTTTTCCAGTCATGGGGGGGTGGCGGGGGCATGGTCCTTGAAAATTAAATTTAGTATACTTGTATTGTAGACTAAAGACAGAAGAGCCAGTCTTGGCCAAGTTTTCTTTTCTCTTTGGTTTGAGTAGTGCACAACAAAGCAAGATTGTTTTCTTTTTAGACTATAGAATCCATTATCCTTCTTTTCTTTCCTGCTTCAGTTGCCTAAGGCTGTCTTGTTGGAAGCACATGCCCTGAGGCCCAAATTATAAGAACACCACTTTAACCAACCATTGTGCAACTGTAAAAGAAGGATTTTCAACTTCTCATGTGAGAATGGTCTTTCGCATTTCCTCACTTCTAAAGAATTCTAGCCCGTTACTTGTAACTCCACTCCTGGTAACAAATTTCTTATCCATTTTATACTTCATCTGAAAGTAAGTACAGGCCCAACTCAAATTGGTAAATGATTACAAGAAAATCACTATCTTATGTGACAACTTCAAAGAATTAAACTGGGTTTAACATTAAATAGGATTAGAGCCTGGATGGATTTTCTTGGCTTTGTCCCTCTCAGATTAACTTTCTGCTTGGTAGCATATGGTAATAGCTGTTCTAGACTTTATACCTATACACTACATGGTAGAGAGGAAGGGAGAAAACCAGATTTCTAGAATTCAGCATACTGAGATTTACCTTTAGTGAACTCCTATGATAGAGGGGTATACTGGATTGGTTGGTCAAGTTAGGCTGTATGCTTCACCTGTGGAAAAAGGCAAAGAATATTTCTTGTAAGATGCAGATTCATGAAAGGTAGCACAGTTATTGAAAGAGAAAGGGGGAAGGATGCTGTGTACATCTCAACTATTCATAAAAATTAAATAAGAGTTGCCAGAATATAAACGTATGCCAAATAAATTATGAAAACAGTGCTGCCAATGACATTCAGCAATACAAATTAAGTCCCTCTTTAATATACACTCCAAAAAAATATAATCATGCTATAGTAGATCTTAGTGCAATAATTGGTTTCTGTTAAAATGGACCACATGAAAAACTAAATTCCCTTTATGATTACTCAAGGTGTTATTAAAGCAGGCATTCATTAACCTTATGAAAACTCAAATAACTAATTAATCACCAAAAGTTGCATAGGTCATAAAGGTATGTCTAATATTTGAATTTGAAGATTCTGCTTCAAATTCAAATATCAATCAATTCAATGATTGCCAAACTTTATTCTTTAAAATAAGTCTACAGGTATAGATTTCCTAGGAAGTATTCAAAGTCAATTTTCTTTAAAAAAAAAAAAAATTACTCTAGCACTTAACTAAAAGTATATCTTATTTTTCTTAAATAGTGTAAATGTGTTTCTCAATCTATATATCTCATAAAAGATAAGTTTTAGACCCTATTATTTTCCTGGTGATCAGTGTAATTCTCCATTTCATTTCAATAAAGAAAAAAAAAAACCTTGTAAATATTTCTTCATTTATCTATAAATATGTATAGCCAATAGTATATTAACCTGGAATAGATTCAAGAAGGTTACTTACAACATTAATAATTTAAAGATATCTTGAAGAAAGGATATATTCTGATATTATTTTAATTTAGAAAAACAAGGGTAAAATTTTAATTTCTCACTTAATCAGACTAAATGAGAACAGTTTAGAAAAGTAATAGAAGACTTACCACTGATGCTCTTTACTGGACATGACATATGGGAGTAGTTCGTGAGAGGAAGTTCCTACAGGGGAAGCAAGCTGGAGAATGTGGCCTGTGCAGTGGGCTGGGACTCGGGGAGTTTTGTTATGGCAGAGAATGCCTCTTGTGAGCCTAGACCATTGTAATCTGGAGACAAAGGATACCTGGCATGGCAGGGATGATAGACAGTATGAGTGAGTATATGGAGGTAATTGAGGTTTAATGACACATCAGATTACCAGAGAATTCACACACTCCCATCTCCTGAATTTCTCTCGAAATAGAGTGTTTTTGTTTTTGTTTTTGTTTTCACTGCCATCTTTCAATCAAACCTATATTCTGGGAGGAACTACCCAAACTCAATTAAAAATGCAAATTCCTATCAACTATGTAGAAACATTATAAATCCATCATTAAAAAAATCACACATGTCTAAGTATTAAATTGGAATTTTCCTCATGATTTTACAATCATATGACTAAGTTTTACCTTCTAAATCCCTGTGAACAAATCCTTTTAGGGTCCTGCACCACATGGAATTTTAAAATATTTAATAACTACGAAAGAAGTCAAATGTTAAGATATCTCCAAAGTCATTCACCTTCTTCTTCCTCAGTACTGGTCACGTGTTTTGGGCTACTGCATTGGGTCAGCTTCATCTTTTATCAGCAATGCTAGTACATCATTACTGTGACATTAGTTTAACTCTGTTCATTTTTAAATACAAGCAGACTTTTAACACACATCAAATTCTACTTTTACTTCCTACATTTCAGTTGTATTGCTATAAATTTGGCAAAGAAAGGTAATAATATGATTATAAATAATGGTCAATAAAATAAATTATGGCTGTCCTTGCTGTGGTCCTTAGAGTTGTGTGAACTTCGGAAAACACTTAAACATTCTAAGTATTGGATTGCATATCTCTAAAACGACAAAGATTTATCTCAAAAGCCTCTTTGAAGATTGAAAATATATGTACATACAGTATCATAAACTGCAGGTGCATAGGCTAGTTCACATGTTGACTATATATATAATGTGTATATATATATATATATATGCCCACTTATGTATGTAGTCTCATTTTTATACACACACACACATATACTTATGTACATAGTTTCATTTAACATATATGCATGTATGCACATACATAAGTAATTTCCCCTATACATTTACTTGTTTATTTTTTAATTTATTTTTGATGTATTTTAAGATTTTATTTATTTATTTGACAGAAAGAGCGCAAGCAGGGGGAGCAACAGGCAGAGGGAAAGAGAAAAGCAGGTTCCCTACTGAGCTCCATCCCAGGACCCTGGGGTCATAACCTGAGCTGAAGGCAGACACTTAACTGTCTGAATCACCCAGGTGCCCCACTTGTTTATTTCTTAATAGACTTTAATTTTTAGAGAAGTCTTAAGTTCATAGCAAAATTGAGCAGAAAATACAGAGTCCCCATATTACTCCTAAGTCCCTCCCTAACTTCCCTATTATTAATATATCCACTAATTTAGCATCATAAAAAATAGTCCCATTGCCTAAAAGTCCTCTGTGCTCCACCTATTCTTCCTTCTCTCCCCTATTCATTTTTTAAATAAAGATTTTACTTATTTATTTGACAGACAGAAGTCACAAGTAGGCAGAGAGGCAGCCAGAGAGAGAGAGGGAAGCCAGCTCCCTGCTGAGCAGAGATCCCAATGCGGGGGCTCCATCCCAGGACCCTGGGATCATGACTTGAGCCGAAGGCAGGGGCTTAACCCACTGAGCCACCCAGGAGCCCCTTCCCTATTCATTTTTGAACACTATACAGATGTACGGCATTGAGTTTTCCCTTATGTCTTAGCAAGAGGCAATGGAAAAGTGTGATAGTTCAAGTATAGTTCAAGAGCTCCACCTCTGTATTTAGCTGATATTTTGTAAGGGATCCTTTCCCAAATGTATGAATTATTTTGACTAAATAACGCACATCATAAATACATACACAACTATATTTAAAATGTCTAGAAACTGTCTTTTGAGTAAATGTTCACTTAAAGAGTTACTAAATTCTTAGTAACCATGAACTATTTTTCTGACAAATGATGGAAAACATGAATGATTTCATGTAAAAACTTTTGATATATATAAATTCTGAATATAGGTCTTTATAC